AGAGAGAGAGAGTACTTGAACAAAGAGCGAAAGGTCGATGTTCGCCCATGACGTCAGAGAAAGAGAGAGTGAGAGAGAGAGAGAGAGAGAGAGAAAGCTTTCGCTTAAAGCTCACTTTTGCGTTGCTTGGAGCTTAATCTCGCGCGCTCTCTGCTGCGCGCTCTCTGCTCCTGTTGCTGACGTCATTGCTCCTGTTTGATGGTCGCTCCTGTTGCTCCTGCCTGCCTGCTGCCTGCTGCCGCTTGCTGCTCGCCGGTTCATTTGAGGCGGAGTATTTGAGTTAGAGTTGTTGAATGGCGCGCTCCAAAAGCCCGCCCCTTCCGCAGGGTGGCGCGGCACTCCACCAAACCCTGTAGCCCGTACCCTGCCAACATTTTGGAGTATGCTTTTCTCCTGCAGGATATGCGGCTGCTTGCAAGAAGTTGCTGCACGTCTTGGCTGGCATCTTGAGCACAGTAGGCAGCCGCTTGGGTGGGAGGGAGAGCGTGCTTGCTGGTCTCTCTGCATTTTCCGCAGGTTTTGTTAGTGTTTTGTGTGGCTGGAGCGGCCATTTTCTCCATGGAGCCAATTAGCACCAGGCGAACAGGAGGCAGGAAATAGGCAACGGCAATAGGATGCGACGGCCCCTACAGATTCCGGAAAAGCTCAAAGAGCGAGAGCGGGAGAGTGGGAGAGGCAAGCTGGCGGCTGGCGGCTGGCGGCTGTAGGTTGTGTGTGTGGAGAGAGCGAGGGAGGAGCATGCTGTATGCTGGATGCTGTTTGCAGTGTGTGTCCTTCTCCTGTGCAGCTGAGCAGCCTGTGCGGGGGTCAGGTCAAGGCCCATGTGTGTGTGTGTGTGTTCCATTGTTTTGTGCAGCTTTTCCGTTATTCTGCGGCATCTGTGGCTGACACAGGACACAGAACAAAAGCGAGCTTTCACTTTCAGCGACAGGATTTATAATCCACTTTGGCTTGCCATTACACATCATCCACGTACGTGCGAGTCGTGCCGTGTGTTGTGTCGAGTCTATATCTGGGTCAGCTGTTTGGCTTATGCAAGTCCCGGCCCCAAAGCCAGCCCAACCCCTTTTTTGGCACAGGGTTGGGGCACAGCTGGCTGCAAATGAGGAAGCCTAAAATAGCAACAGAAAGAGGGAAAAAAGAAATGGCAAACGCGTTACGTGTGTTGCACGCTGCACAAAGTTGCAGCAGCAGCAGCGACAGTGTGGCAGCAACCAGCAATCGATTGCAGGGGTCCGGTTACCAACATTTAGCTGCTCTGCACACAGTTTTTAGCCGTTGGCTGCGTTGATAAGAACACACTCACCTCGAAAGCGAAAGCAGAGTAAAAACTGTGCCAATAAGATGTGAGCCAGCGAAGCAAACATCGCGCATCAGGGGCAGCAATCGATTCCTCCTGCTTTGAAATTAACGAAAAATGTCTACAGTGTCTCTTAGTGTCGAATAAAATCGTGCAGTGAAAAATCGAAAAGATGCAGCGCCCAACACCGAATATCTCCACCAGCATTATGAGCCGCATGTCGCTCTTTGAAAGTGAGTCGAATCGGTGGGGTCCCTCACACAATTCGTGCCTTAACTGCAGAGCTCCGTTCCAACCTTGTCCTCAGTTGTGTTCGAATCAGTCAACCAAGAGTGAAATCTGTGCATTCTTTTGCGCTTTTATTTTATTGTTAGGTGTGAAATGATTAAGTATGCCTGAAAGTGCGTCCAAATCTAGATGGAAAGTGTGGAAAATAAGCAACGAAAGATAAGTTTTTGGGAGTGCAAAAGCTAGCTGAATTCTATTCCTTAACTTTTACCCATTCAATTCGAAGCAAACTCAGAGTGTTCTTTGCTTTTCCCTTTATAAAGTAAACCTCCATGAAATGTGCATAACTCTAACCATTTGATGACATGCAAAATCTGCCCCAATGCCCCTGCTGATGAATATCATTTGGTTGGGCGCTAGTTAACCTCTCATGAAAATGGTTCACGTTTAACTTTTGAGCAACGACGACGATTGTCATGCCTTGTTGGGCCCTTAACCCGGTTAGACGAGTGGCGTTCTGAAATAAAAAAAACTTTCATTTAACCCAGGGCCTGGCACTTGATCATATTTCAAAGTCTCTGCTTTTTCCTATCACAATGCAAGTCTCTAGGTGTCTAATGTTTTGTGTTGATTTATGTGCCATAAGTCTGGGGGTCATTCGGTGAAAACAAATTGCATATAATTAGCATGGAGTTTATTTCATTTGCGTTCGTTTCACGACCCAAACTCGGACCCAGACGAGGAAATGCTTGCAGCCAGCACCTCATTAACCCACATGGCAGCAAGTTGCCGCACAATTTTCTAACACGGTCTGGCCTCTGGTAGGATGGAGTATGGGGATATCTGGCTGGGGGTCTTGTCTGCGTTTTGTTGGTTAAACAAACAGCCAGTCGAACCACTCGATTGCGCAAGTGAAAACTTGTTGGGGCGACGATGGACACCATAAGTGAAGCAAGTGCTGGAAAAATACCCTCCCAATGGGGGGGCATTCTGGGCATTTTGTAAACTTTTTAAGAGATCAGTTGTTGGGCGGATATAGCCCTAAGTGTACGTGTTTCAGTTGAGTTTCGTTGAGATTCAATTTAGTTAACAAGACTTTGTTGGAGATTTATCAGGGAACATTATTGAGTGTGCGAATTTGTGGAGCCATCAAGGAAATTCTCTTTCTAAAACGATCTTTTTGATCAATTTATTGTTTTGTAAGATTTTGGTTTGCATTTTAAGATTTTTAAGACTATTTTCTCCATGCTAAAACTCCTCAAATTGATTTTGATTAGGTTTAAGTGCAAAGTTTGTTATTTTTCTTGAGAATTGTTGAAGATTCGAAGCGGTTTTCGCGGTATTTTCTATATGAGAGCCAATGCCACCCTCTTTATTGGTAATTGCATTATTTTCCACGTATTTTCCTGAACAAATCTGCGCACAAATTTGCATGTGAAATGATGGAAACCATTCTGATCAAAAGAGAAACAAATGTGCTCCAAACTGAAACTTCTATGTGCGGAAACTACTTTTGTCCTTAGTCAGTAAAGGGCTCAGACAGAGCCCAGAGTCGACTTGCAGCTAATTTGCATTTGAACAAAAAGAAGAAAAAGAAAAATCAATCAAAAGGAATTTGCATACGATTTCCGATTGGGTCATAGATATGTGAGCCGAGTGCATGATGCAAGTTTCATCATTAGGGTCTCAACAGCTTAGGTTAAAGGTCAAAGATTCGGGGCTTTTGAGGGTCATTAAATGGCCGACAAACTAAAGAGATTTCGACGAACAATATGGCATTGATGAACGAATAACTGAGTCGGAAACTGTGTTTGTGGAATTGCCTGAAATGACTCTGATGAAATTTGATTGATTGATTGTCGAATGTGAACTTTGGAGCTGGAGATGGATGTTGGAGCCGGCAATTTAGCCTTTGGTTAACCCTAAACCGCTCTTGGAGTTGCCCGGCTTCGTGTGAACTAGTTTGCCAATTGAAATGCTTCTTGATTGAGATGTTTGTGCTATTGCTGTGTAGAAGAAATCAAAGATGATGTTCAATTGCTGTTCGTGATGATATGAAGAAATTTGTTCAATTAGTTCGCTTGATGGCGCATTAAGCTGCTTACATTTTCGAGAGTTTTTTAGTGTTTTAAACCATTAAATATCTGTGTAATCAAAAGCTAATAAATTAAGCATTCTTAGGTCTTGTTTTACACATTTTTCTCCTTAAGTTCTGAAAATCCCTTCTGCCATCCACTTACTAGTGGATACGCAATAAAATCTCCCTTTAATCTCCCTTAGTTTATGTGTTGATCGAATTAAGTTTTTGGCACAGTGCACTCCACTTGCAGCTTGTTTTTGGCACAGCTCTGCTGGTGTTTTCCGAGTTTTTATTCCAAGCTGCAGCAGCATATTGGGAGCCATCTTTCGCCCCCGCAGCGTTTTCAGCAATGTCATTGCCCTTTTTGCGCTGTGCCTCTCTGTGGCTCTTCCCCTTATCATCGCCTATTAATCTAGTTTAGGTTTGCCAGTTGCCAGTTGCCAGTTGCCAGTGCGACAGCTACAGCGACTAACTAGTTCGCCCCAAATGTGGGTTAATATGATGGGTGAACAAAAGAAGTTTTGCTCCGCTGATGGCTCAGAGAAGAATTTACAAAAAAAAGAACAGAAGTGAACCAAAGAAAAGAATCGGTGAACAAAACGAAAAAAAAAGAAAGAACTTTAACGCTGACTTGGGTCATATGGAAAATACCCTTTTGGAGAGGCTCTTGTCGGGGTTTTAAGAGGTGTGGAAAGTGCAGAAGGGAAAGGAAATGCTGCGATTTGTAGCAGTACCAAAAGAAGTGGACAGATTCTCCATCAGGCCTTATATTTCTATACGATTTACTCTTTTTATTAGACATCAAATGATGTGTACAAATTATCCATAAAGAAACGGATACAGTCGCTAAAAGACAAGCGTTTCGGCATGCATTTAGCTACTCAGCGGATAAAAATAATTAAAATTCCTCATGCAACGCTGTCCATGAGTATTCTTTATACTCTTTTAAGCATAAATGCACTTAACTATTTATTATGATCACAATAATTACACTTTAGAGAGCCGCAAGGGTATCCGTGCTTCAGCTTGCCGTCATAAATGCTGCTCCCTCGTTTTTTTTTTTTACGGTTTTACAGAATATTTCTGCCCTGTCGGCTCTTGAGCTGTTTGTAGTGTTTGGCGGTTTTTTTTTGTAATAACAAATTGACAATGACATGAATGAGAGGAAATATTTAACCTTAATAAACGGGCTGAAGACGTCTTTTGTTTGGTTTATGTTATTTTTTCTTGTGTGCCTCTATGGTTGGTGGTGGAATGCATTGTTGCAGCAGGCTGAACTGATTTATGGAAGGCCAAGTGGCAATTAAACTTTGGCTGCCCCAAGATCGTAGAGAGAGGGAGAGGGACCACACATTCACCATTATTAATCTCTGGAACTCTTTTCGCTTGCAGATACCGCATTCAGGCACAGTTCAGCGGAGTCAGAGAACGAGGCCGGAGCAGCGACCATGATGTCCATGAGCAGCTCACCACCGGCAACGCCGACGGGCGTGCAGACCGACTCCGAGGGTCTCATATTGCCCAAGAAGCTGATTAATCCCTGCATGGAGAACACCGATCGCAAGGAGCTGCATCGAGAGTTGAAATTCAATGCCAGAATGTGAGTGGAACACAGGGCATAACATAGTCCTCCATAACAACTACTAAACCATCTCTCTCTCTCTCATGCATGTATTGCAGTGGCAAGAGTGTGCTCAACCAGAAATCGGAACTCCAGCGTGCCTACGACAAGCAAAAGGAGCGCCATGCAGCCGCCGAGCATCATTCCCCCGATGCAGAACTGGTGGGCGGCATACCCGGCCTGAAGGGAGAGCTGGGCCGCGTCATCTTGGAGCGTGCCCAGAAGCACGAGGCAGCTCAGAAGCAGGACGCCGATGAGTCCGACGATCGGCAGTACGTGAATCCCGAATATTTGAATGTGCGCGCCAAGCTGCGAGCGGCGAATGGACCCAACTAGAGGATGTTAAAACCATCCCCTGCGCCCCGCGACTCATCGTATAATTTAATTCCTAAACCAAATTGGAACGAAATATGTTTAATGTGTGTTGACTTTGAGAACTGTTTTCATTTTGATATTATGCAAAACTAGTTGTATTGTTTAAACCTAGCTCTAAGCCATATTCACCTTAGTTGTAGCCACTAACTTTAGTTGTCGTTTTCTTGGACTAATTGATAAATCGATTGCCCTTCATTTGGACACCCCTAAAACCATTTGTACAAAGTTTTCGTTTCTTCCAAAAAACCAAACAAAACAAATATTGTATCTAGTGTAGTTATATGTGAACGTATCTGACGTATGTATCTATATCTTTATGATTATATATTAATGGGATCGATAGTGCTGTAAACAGAGCAAACGTGTGGTTAGAACGTAAGACAGAGACAGAGACCGAAGCTCGGGAGAATGAAGAGAAGAACATTTGAAACAGATTACAGAACTATATACAATATAAAAATCTATATACAAACATTCAGTTTCTGGAATTAATAAATTTTATTGTAGGTAAACAGTTACATTAACAAAATCGTTGCATTTTTTAATATGGAATTTGTTGTATACAAAAAAAAAACCCAACAGTAATTACTAACTGAAAATGGAAAGAAGGATGCTTGGGAGATCGTTCCAACGTTTTCTCTGCTGAGCTGCTTATAGCTCAAAGTATTTTTGAAACATTACCTAGAACTCTCCTTATCGTTACATATCTTATCCGAGATCGTTTCCTTGAGTGTTGTTTACTTTTTCTTCTTTTCTTTCTTGCCATTCTTGCCTGTGGCTTTGGCTTTTTCCTTCAATTCACTTTTTCTTGCTTGCTTTTCCTCCAGCTGCGTTGCATAACAATTTGTTAGTTGAAAAGTGAAAGAGTTTTCTGCTCAGAACTTACTATTCTAAGTTTCTCCAGCTCTGCCGCCTCTTCTTTGGCTATTTTTGCGCGCGTCTCTGCGATTTTCAAATGAAACATTTGCACCTTCTCCTGATAGCTCGTCAGGTCGTCCTTGCACTTGTTCAGCTTGTTCAGTGTCATCTGTACGTTATTTTCGGCAGTCTCCATGTCCTCGTCGTAGCACTCTTGCGTTAAATTGATGCGATTCGTGTACTCTTCAATCAGGGACGTGTACTTACGGCTTGCACCATTCCACACTTTGGTATCCGTATCAGTCAGCTCTTTCAGTTTGTCGAGTTCATCTTGGATTATCTGTGGGCACATGATAAGGGAAGGTTGTTTCAGTTTACTCAAGATTGCAGGGCACATCTTTATGGTTTTATATGTTTCTATTAGTAATGAGTGAGGGTACACGAATTGGCATCAAAATGCCATAAATAAAACTCGTAAGATGCGGGTAGGCTGTCATTGAGAATGAAGTTGTATAATGTTGAGAATAATCCAACAATAAGTGGACAAATTGTTCATGTATCTGCCTCTATAATTTGTTCTCCTTCTCGTTGAACGAACCTTTACTTTACTTGCATCTTCGAAATCTTTCTGCTCCAACTTATTGCGGATACAATCAATCTGATAACGTGTCTCAATGGGAGCTTTGTCTGCATAGGAAACATGTCCGAGTATAACAGCAATCTATGCGTCAATCTATTACTCACAATCCATGAGGTATTGTTGCTCCCTTTTTAGTATACGATGTTTGGAAATCATTTTCGGATCGTGACACTTTCCCTGTCTGGCCTTAAACAATTGCGTGGCGAGATTATCGTGTTCGGTGTACATGTCCTCGTAGGGCTTGGCCAGCACCTCCATGATATCCACCTGAATGTCTCTGTCGGTGCAAGAGTAATCAGTGCATGACATGACCAAGGCAACATTTACACACTACTCACCGCAACAATGCCCCAAAACCCTGACACAAATCATTATTCTCTATCAAATCGTTCTTCAAAGATCTCATTAGACGGACAATCTCCTCCAGATCGACATAGTATTTGAGGTCCTGCAGCTGCGCTGCGGTTTGGTCGAACAAAAAGGTATCCAAATAAATCGTATCGCTATGCTTCTTGAAACGTTCGAAATATTCATGACAGGACCAACCAAAAATGGTTTTCTTTGGATCGGTGCCCTCGGGCGGAATGGTGCGCATGATCTCAATCTTCTTGATGATCTTCTCCAGCAGATAGGTGATGCAGGAAATGCCAAATCCATCCAACAGCCTCACGTAGCGGGCCTTGACCAGTGCACTTAGATCGTAGGCGGAGGATCTCAAGTTCACATTAATGGCCGACGGGCGATACTTCGTGGGCTTCCACATTGTGGTGCGTCGTCTACTTATCATCATGAACTCGATCTCGAATTTTTTCGTAGCAAAAAAATCCTTTTTTGGCACCCAATCCTCTTCCGGCTCTTCGCTTGCATCCTCGGATACACTCTCAAAAGGGGCCAGCAGCGCCTTGAGGTACGCATCGCGACAGAGATGCGACTCCGCCGGTGGCAGTGGAAAGAAACCCTCCGGTGGAAATGCATGTTTAAAACCCACTTGGGCCTGCAAAGGCTTTGCATCACGACTCAACATAATGTCTCTATATATTTATCTGTTTGGGTTTCTATGGATTCTGTTCGAGTTCTCGTTTGTGGGTAATGTTTGTTCCTGTCTCTGTCAGTGGTTGTCATTTGCTCAAAGTTTGCTTTCCGATATCCATTCGATCTCTCATTCCTTGTGAGAACTTTCTCCACATCATATTCAAGTATTGTACACAGAAAATTTGGGAAAAATTCAACCAAAAATTTAAAGTAATTAAGAACAACTTTTGCAAGACAAAATCTTTAGTAAATCGAAATTAGATAATGTCGAGGCTTACATTAGCTGCGGAGGATGTACGCGAAGGAAGTGTGGCACAGGTAGGTGGCACATTATCCAAGGCGAATCCTTTCCAGCCATTAACCCATCCTCAGGCACGTGCGCATAATGCCGTGATTTGTATTCCGCCCCGTCAGGCTCCACCCACTCCACCGGCAGCACCACTCGCCCAGGAAGGCTCTGCTCCCGCGCTGCTGCCCATCCTCGACTATTTGCGTGAGCTGCTGATCAATCCCGAACCCTTGGACCTCACACTGGACATTGCCGACCACAGACACCTGCTGTACGAGAGCATCCTCATGGTTGTGGACATACTAAGCAATGTGATTGAGGCAATGGCAAGGCATGCCCTCTTGAGTCTGGATGACCAGTATAACTTCCTGAGATTGTGCACACTGTACTTTGCGGCCTACGACATAGAGAACTCTCTACGCCGCACCATGGACGCATTGGGAAACTTTGATATTCCGACCGATAACTATTCGGTTTATACGTGGCCCCGGCACTATGCAGAGGTGACACTTGGCACAAATTCTGCCCAATCCAGTCCATATCTCTGGCGGAACGCGTACCTCTTTACACCCCACCTGGGACCACATTACTTTGAAAGAGGCCTGGGACACCGAGATGCGCTCATGGCGACGGGATACTGGAATGAAAATGACGCACCCGACAACGAGGCGGAAGGCCATAACAATGGCGTTTCGGAAGAAGACGAAGACGAGAACAATGAAGAATATGAGGCTCCTTCTTGCATGGTGAACGAAAATATCTATGTACCTCCGCGACATTGAGGACATTTAACACTTGTTTTCGATCCCTGTATAAATCTAATGTAGTTCTGTATCTAGTAAGTATTTGACCAGTTTTTGGCAAGCTTTTGTTGCAGTGTAGAAACATCGTAACCCCATTGGCGAAAGAACAACGAAAACAAAACACTTGCATTCCCACAATTAGCATTCCCAGTAGAAGACAACGGTAACTGCAGTTTCAGACAGAACAGAAAGCTGACATACGGTGCCGAAGCTCTAAATACCCTTGCACAGCTATCAACTCAAATCATAACACAATCGAAGATGCTCCCTTCTTTGGGTTGCAACCATCTTAGAAAAATCCATAATACCCTCTAAAAGGGTATGATGTAGAAACGACAAGAAACATGTAAATTACGGCCCGTGGCTAATGTCAGTCAATGTTAACATTATAACAAAGCAGCTACAACAGAAGAGGCAGCGCTATTGACGTCGTCGTCAGTTAAGCAACTGTAAATGAAACAGTGGCTGGCAGCACCGAAAAAGAGAGGGCAGCATAGTGCAATGGGGTATGATCAGCCAGTTAATACGTTCGGTGCAGGCAATGCCTCTCCGTAGGAGTACAATGTTTGCTTCACAGAAAGATATCACTCAACTTGAATGCACATAATTTCCCATAAATTACTAATTACGCACAACCGCAGAGTGTACACAGCATACTCTCTTGGAGTTAATGTAAAGGGTAAGCAAACATGCATGTGCGCATCAACTCCCACGCTCTCACACTCTAACACTCGCTCCCTCTCTTCACACGTACACACACAAACTTTGGTTTGAGCAGCTCTTGCTTTCCCTTTACGTTTCTCTCGCTCTTGCTGCCAACACTGTGACGTAGGCCCCCGTCGACCTGCGTTGGGGCCGTTTCTCACTCTCCCATTCTCACTCTCTCTCTCTCTCTCTCTCTTAAGCAGCCACAGCCATGCACACTTGTGTCGTTTTCACTCGCTCGGTTGGGGTCTACTGTTTGGCGGTGCCGTTTGCTTGCCGCGTGGCTCTGGCCGCCTGTTCCCTCGTATCGCGTAGAGGGACCTGCCTCAATGTTGCGCGTTCACTTTTAGGGAGCCTACACCGTAAAAATTAGCGCCGCTGTGGCGTTTTTTTGTTGTTGCGCTGCTATTTCCATCCAACCCCCCGAATTGGAGTTTGGGCACATCGGTTTGGTCGCCTATAGAGGCGCCGCTTCGAGTTTTGGCGCCTGCGTGGAGTGCAACGGTTTTGCAGCTTTGTCGCTTGCAGCTTAGCGGGGCCACTATTTTTGATTTTGGACGGCTCTGTAGCTGGGGCTATGAAGCAAACAGAATGTGCCACAAGGCTGGACGGATGGGAAGCTGCTTAGAAGCGTTGTCAACACGCAGACGACCCGGGGGCCAGCACTGCGGTGCCGGCGTGGCCTTGACATTTGACTTCGACTTCCTCCCCGACGATTAGGGGGCGTTGCACAGAAGAGAGATCAAGCCGTAGGTCGTGTGGCAATGCCATCTCGCAGCACAGCACAGTTACTTTGGCACCGTTAGTCGCCTCTCTCATCTTTTGCGGTTGCTCTCTCTCTTTGCCTGTGGGTGTCACATCTTTTGCGTACTTGCTGGCCACTCTCTCTTTGTCTTTCTCTCTCTGGCGTCGGATGTCATCTTTTGCAAATTTCTGAACGCTTGTTCGCAAAACCGCAGCCAGCGATGGCAATGCCAGCGGCAGCAGACGTAACGGTACATGTGACAGCCACCACGACGTTGCCAACGACGACGACGGTCGCTACGGCCATCTGATAGACAGCTGTCTCCCGGTTACGTCAGTCAAAATGACGCATCGTGTTTTGGTAACAGGAAAGCATAAAATGCCAGCAGACAATGCGACTTCTGCGAATGCGGCTGGAGCGCGAAAGAAAAATCACACAGAAACCACACCACACAAAACAAAAGAATGAAAAGCAAAAAACACACAGCACAAAGAAAAAGCAGCGCAGCGCGTCATGACAAAAGCCACCCTCGCAACACACGACGTTTGTTTTTTCTTTTTGTGTGTTTTCAAATTAGACAAAGTGCATGCAGCTAAACTCTCCAAAAGAACAGAACGGATGGCAGAGAAAGAGAGTGAGAGAGAGCGAGAGCAGTAAAACACTTCTCAAAATCTTGCGCCCTACAAAACGCAACCACAAAAGCAACAGCAACAACAGGAAATGGAAGTTTGCTTAAAATAACGACTTATTTCATGCCCTTGCAGGTAAATTCTTACTCCTCACTGCAGTAATATATACCATTTATATATGAATTCACAACACGTAGACAAGTTTTAGTTAACTTTATGTAGGGTGAAAATTGCAACTGCAAATTTCTGTGTCAAAAACACATGCTGAATATAATTGTACTATCTTAAAGGGTATACAACCAACGACTAGCGTCAAAACAATTCTTGCTGCTGCTTTCACACACACCACGGCAGAAACGATACCAAAAAAATCCAAAGTGAGCCGCCAGCGTCTGACTCTGGGCGCCTGCTGCTTTGCGGACAAAATTTGAGCAGATCCGCTCACAAAAAAAACGGCAATACGTACAAAAAACTATAAAATAGTGTTTGCGGTGGGGCTTCGTGGTCGTTCTGTGGTGCGATTGCGGTTCCGTAGGTTCCACAACCCAAAGCGTTCCAACGGCACCGGGCTCCACAAGCGCTGGCTGGCTGCCTGGCTGGCTGAGTCTTGGGGCCGGAACATCCCATGCCACTTCCAATTGGAAATTTGCTCTCATGCGAGTGAGCGAGCGCACACACAAATCACATGGGAAAAGTCCCCAACTGGTATTTTGAGCAGGCGCGCAGCTTGTTCCAGCTGCAGTCCTCTCAAAGAGTTGCTTTTACTCAGATAAGAAGCAAAAGCCAATGACAAAACAGAACGAGATAAGCAATAAACAGTGAGAGCGGAGAGCGGCCAGCAATGAGAGAAATGCACTCCACTTCCCATAGTGAAAAAGGTCACACTAATCGATCGCGGGGGGTGATAAGACTGGAATGGAGTAGCCATGGAGTATGTTACCACCATAAAGAAACTATTTATGGTATTTCATCAAATCTGACACTACTGTACATCGTATTCCCCCTGACATTTAATGACTTTCCAGATAGCTCCAAAAAGTGTTTCATCAAGAATTGAGCTAATTGAGCTTATCAAACTTTTTTCTATAAACTGATAATTATTTAGCGATATGGGGTGGACTTCTATATAAAGGCTTTAGCTTGGAGTGTTGCCCAGTCAGTCGCACGGCAATAGCAGCCAAGTATTCTAGTTCTACTTATTTAGATCTCACGGTAAGAGTTGTATAAATTAAAGAGAACAGAACGCTTAAGAGAACGAGAACGATCGCGAGAGTGTGCCATAAAAGCTTTTCCCCCCACCATATTGTTTAGTATAGTTTTTGCACTGAGCGTGTACGGGTTTTCAAGTGTAATTCAATTGCTAAACATTTATTGGTGCTCTTTTGGTGTTAGCCCAGAGTAATAAGAGAGTTTGAAGGAGTACAACATTTGTTCGTAAATGACATTGGGAATATGAGCAGTGTAATTAATATCAACAGAGACCGAAGCGACCAAATTTTTCCACTGCCTCATAAACAACGAGAGAAAAAAGCATCAAATTGTCAAACTGTTAAATGAGTTTTGTGTCGTGGACAAGCGATTAGACGGGGGAACATATCTGTTGTGTTGGAATTTCACCATAAATTTAGAGGGGGCCTCAAGTGTCGTCAGAGATAGTGAGTGGAGGAACATAATATAACCCTTTTGACTTTGGTTGTGCTCGCTGGGAAGCGAATTTGATGAAAGGAAGGTATCTGGAAAGTATGGGTGGTTCGAGAGTGAGAGCCTGTTAAAAATTTGACAACTCTGTGAAGGGAAAACCATTTAAGAGAGTTTGTTTGTTTATATTTTGTTAAAATTATATGTAGAATTGAAATAAAGAGATACCCTTAATATATTGAGAGACATCTCCCTTAGCTTTCCCACTTGTTGTTACGAAGTTTCTTTCATACTCCTTTTAATACCACCAGCCTGATAGTTTTCTGTCTCTAATTTTATTTTCTTAGAGAATTTTGTCCGAAAATTATGTTCAATCAACATTTTAAGAACAAGAAACCGAGCTCCAATTACCGTAAATATGTTAATTCTTAATTATGAATAATTAAAAGCAAAAATAACCGCAAAGGAATATTCCCTTCTTCGGAACAGGTAGAGGTAGAGGCACCTCACTTCCATTCTCTCTTTGAGTCTGTCGCTCTCAAAACCCAAACCTGTTGCTTGTCTTATACCCTGTAGAAGAGAAATCAGCTGCTTGGGAGCTTAAGATTAGAGAGAGTAAATCAAAATGCTGAGCAGGTTCATTGGCGTTTCAGCAGCAACTATCATCAGCGGTAGATCTGGCAGCATTCTGTCCAGAACTCTCTATAAGTCGGGGTGCGTATTCCCCTCGATCAGTTTCTTTTCAAGCCCGACTCCGACCACAGCGTTCAAGTGCTCGTTCTCGGCTAACCAAACATGGCCATCAAATCTCAACTTTTACTGTCACTTCTGGTGTTGGCCTTGTCAATAACCTGTAACAATGCTTCGTTTGTGCGCAGAGGCAAGAACCACACACAGACCATGTCGACGGGCAAGGCTTACAAGGTGCTGATTACCCATCCCGAGGTGCCGCAGGAGGGCATCGATCTGCTCAAAGAGAACTGCGAGCTCATCCAAGTCCAGAGTCTGCCCACCAACCGGGCCGAGCTGCTGCAAAAGATCAGGGGCGTTGACGGTGTGCTCTGGGGCGGACATGAAGCTCTCAATGCCGAGGTCCTGGATGCTGCCGGTCCTCAACTGAAGTCCATCTCCACCATGTCCGCTGGCATCGACTATGTGGATGTGCCAGAGGTGAAGAAGCGCAAGATTCCCCTGGGACACACACCAACGGTTCTGAACACGGCTGTGGCTGATCTGGCCGTGGGTCTGCTGATCGCCGCAGGACGTCGCTTCCACGAGGGTCGCAGGAAGATCGAAACGTGAGTGCACAGAGAGTTACTTCCATTACTTACTTTTAAACGATTTTAACTCTCCACTTCAGCGACAACTGGGAGAACTATCATCTCAACTGGATGCTGGGCCAGGACATCCGTGACTCCATAGTTGGTTTCTACGGTTTCGGCGGCATTGGTCAGGCCATTGCCAAGCGTTTGTCCGGCTTCGACATCGACCAAGTGCTCTACACCACTCGACGACGCGTGCACAAGGAGATTGAGCAGGAGTTGAATGCCAAGAAGGTCGACTTTGACACCCTACTGGCCCAGAGCGACTTTGTGGTCATTGCCTCTCCCCTGACAGCGGACACGCAGGGCGTGTTCAATACCACAGCCTTCAACAAGATGAAGGAGACTGCAGTTCTGGTCAACATTGGACGCGGCAGTAAGTTGTAGAACTCTCAGCTAAGGCATGACACTAGCCTCTGTCTTTCCTTTGCCATCTAGAAATCGTCAATCAGGATGATCTTTATGAGGCTCTGAAGTCGAACAAGATCTTTGCCGCTGGCCTGGATGTCACAGATCCCGAGCCATTGTCTGCCAAAGACAAACTGCTGTCTCTCGACAATGTTGGTGAGTTGAGCAATGAAAATAATTTTAGATTGTTGCTGGCAGGGGAAGTATTTCGGGCTTTTGCTATCAATATTCAGTCTTATCTCTGGAGCAGTTTACTGTAACTAAAAGTATTTCGAGGAGATTTAACTGATAAGTGGGTGTGGCAAGGTTCTATGAAGGTTATAAGAGTATCCAATGGATGTGTACAGAATCCCAAAAGGAGGAAGTATTGAAAGACATTTACGAGAACCCACCAAAGTCTCTTTATCGGCAATCCATCTCCCCTTTAAACCTCTATTTTGTTGACCCCTTTGCCCTTTCTTTCGTTATCTTTGCCAATTACTCGCGCAAGTCAAAACAAAACACAAAACTCTTATCTCTAGCCACTTGTTAATCCTCCACTTTTCTCTTACAGTTGTCCTGCCCCACATTGGCTCTGCCACGAAGCGCACCCGTGCCGAGATGGCCACCATTGCCGCCCACAATGTGCTTCGCGGATTGGTCGGAGAGCCCATGCTGTCGCCCGCCTACTAGGAAATGCAAATGTCCCTGCACCGGGAATCAGAGTGGAATAAACTTTGATTATTGTGTGGGGGAAAACGAAGCCAGTGGAGCGTAAAAGGTTGCTCATGGCAAGGCCATGGTTCCAGATGTGAAAATAAAAATGCTATAATTAAAACAACTAATAATGAATAATATTAGAGTGCGAAGTGGAAATATAAGAGCAATCTTATATCTGCAGCAAAGAAAACTCAACACAGTCCCCCGGCATTACAATCCCTCTTCCAATAATTTCTAAATATGCGAATGGTGTGAGAACAGGGAGCTTAATGCGAGAGGCAAAACCAAGGTGAATTTACTTACAAGGTGACGTTATCCGCTGTGTGGAGGAGCACTTACATATTCACCACGCTCAGCGAGACAAGCGCCAGAAAGTACCCGACAGTAACTTCCCAGTGTCGAAGACGTCACCCTGTAAGTAAATTCCCCTTGGGCAGAAAGCTTAAGAGCACACACTCAAACGTTTAAGAGAAAGAGTGCAAAAAGCTTGCCAATTGTTTGGTTTGTGTTAGGTGTTGTTGGGGTAAATTTCCATTGAACATTTGTTGGCTGCCGCTGCCCCGCGTTAGTTCCACCATGTCGACTGTTCGCGCCGCCTTCAAGGTGCTCATCTCGCACCCAAATGTGCCAGCGCCCGCCCTGGAGCTGCTGCGTTCCCGCGGCGCCGAGACCATCGTCTGCCAAAGTGTGCCGCCCAGCAGGGCGGAGATTCTACAGAAGGTGACCGGCGTGGATGCCATTTTCTGGGCGCACTACCAGCCACTGAATGCCGGCATACTGGATGCAGCTGGACCGCAGCTGCGGTGTGTGAGCACCATGTCGTCGGGCATTGATTTCGTGGATGTGCCGGAGTTCCAGCGGCGCCAGATCCCATTGGGGCACACGCCAGGAGTGGTGAAGAATTCGGTGGCGGATCTTGCCATTGGATTGATGATTGCAGCTGGGCGACACTTTCACGCCGGTCGCCATGATATCGAGAGGTGAGCCAACAGCTGTTGGAGCTTTGTGCAAGCTTTTGGCATGAGCTGTTGCCCTGCCAACTCGTTTTGTTTATTTGAAATTATAATATTTAAATTATGTTTCAGTTCGCAGTGGAAAACGGAGCTAATTGACTGGCGCATGGGCCAGGAGATCCGCGACTCTGTCATCGGTTTCTTTGGCTTTGGCGGCATCAGTCAGGCCATTGCCAAGCGTCTCCAGTGCTGGGATGTGGCCAAAATTCTCTATCACACACGCAAGCGCAAGGAGAACGAGGCGGAGTTCAAGGCGGAACATGTGCCCTTCGAGCGGCTGCTGCGGGAGAGCGACTTCCTCGTGGTCGCCGCACCACTCACCGACGAAACGCGCGGAAAGTTCGATAAGAAAGCCTTTGGGTTGATGAAATCGAGTGCAGTTTTTGTCAATGTGGCCAGAGGAGGTGAGTAGTGGAATTGGCAGTTTGTTTGTGGCTTCATCTTAACTGGGTTCTGCTTAGGTCTCGTCATGCAAAGCGATCTGCATGAAGCGCTGACCACAGGGCAGATCTTTGCCGCGGGCTTGGACGTGACAACACCAGAACCTTTGCCAGCGGAGGATCCCTTACTGAAGCTGCCCAATTGCGGTGAGTTCTTGGCAGTTAGATTATGATATATATGTCACTCCATATTCAACCTTTTATTTGCAGTTATTCTGCCCCATTTGGGCACACAAACCACGAAGACTACGATCGAAATGAGTCTGCTGGCGGCCAACAATATACTCAATGGCATGGAAGGAAAGCCCATGATTAGGCCAGCATATTGATCGAATGAGGCAGAACAAATTCCATTGAGTAGTAAAGATTTCTCTCCCTTATTCACTGGAATTCCCCTGCTTATCCACCAGCACATGGGGCAGGTACAGCGGCTCCCACTCATCCCGCTGCAGTGCCTTGAGATACTTTCGCCGCTCCTCCAGCACTTGCTGCAGCATATCCAGGCCGGGCTCCTCCGCCTGATGCTTCTGGGCAATCTCCAGAGCCCTGCGCCAGTTGTGCATGCGAAGAGCGAGAGCCACTGCCTGCTGGTACCTGCGATTGTGGAGGAGAATGGTCTCCGCCTCGAGCATTCTGCCCAGCATCAGGGAGTTCTCGGCCATCTGCTCGGCACTCGAAGGGGTCAGGGTCTTCAGGTGCTGCAAGTAGCTGACTTTGTCGATCTGCAGCGCTGCCGCGTAGGCCTCCTCGCTGAGCTGCAGCTGATGCTTCCTGGTTGCGACTGCCGCCAGTGTGGCCCACAGACTCGAGTGCTGGCCCATGCGACAGATCTTCAGGGCCTGCTGCCACTGTCCCTCGATCAGCGTGCGATGCAGCACCTCACAGTAGATGCTGACGTTGACGGGCAGCAGGGCGCCGGCACAACGAAAGGTGACCACAGCATCCTCGAAGCTATCGATGGTGATGTGTTTGCCGAACTCCCTAAAAGGGGACAGACTCGGGATTAGCTGACGGTTCCAGGCATTCCACGCACCAACTCACGCCGTGTCCAGGGTAATTGTCGTTAAAGCTATGATGGTCGGATCGGAGGCTCCCTCGCCGGGGCAATACCAAATGCTGTAGCAGGAATCATGCAAGCCCACGAGGATATTCGTTTCGCTGGCCCACTTGATGGCCGTGAGCTGGGTGCCAATCTTGTAGATCTCCTCCTGTCGCTCCCCACTCAGATTCCGCGTCTCGCTGATGTACAGCTCCCGATTGGCATCGATGAAGGCCACGAACTGATCGTCCTGTGTGCCGGCACGACAGGCGGCGATCTCCGCCAGCTGCTGCTTGGCCTTCAGCGAGTGAGGATCGTACTGCCGCGATGCACCGGGCATCAGATCAAACAGATGCAGCAGACTCGTGTCGGAGTTGTCGCGAATGGCCAGGACATCGAGGCCCAGGGACAGAGAGCGCCACGTGAGCAGCGGCAGCTGGGCCTGAGAGCCGGGATAGCGGGGATTCAGGTGCAGCCGACCCGTGTAGGTGTAGACCCAGATCGAAGAGGAGTCCAAGATCATAAAGTATCTGAAAGGGAGTACAGAATATTTAAGGAACTTCAGGCAGCTGCTGAGGCATGCACCGACTTCTTGCCCACTTCAATGACCCTCGTGTCGTTCCTGCCATCAATGATGATCGGCGTATTGATGTACTTCTCGTTGTAGATGTGCACCTGATGCGTGGTGGCCACCACCAAGTGCCCATAGCCCAGCCCAAAGTTGATTACCCGCTGAGGAAAGTCCAGCACATCCCGACTGCCATTGGCAATGTCTCGCAGCGCAATGGACTTCCTGCTGGTGCTGGTGGCCTTCAGGTTCCGCGAGATGAGCTGCTGCTCCACTGCATGGGCGACAATTAGCTGACCCGTGGAGGTGCCACAGGCCGCCTGAGTGCCGTCCGCGGACCAGGCCAGAGCGAAAAAGGAACCCACACTGGGCGCGGTGAAGCGAGCGCTGTTGTAGGACCACTGAGAAAGAAGGGTACAATTTGGTTTAGATGTTTGCTAGAAAGTCTTTTCCGTGGATCTCACCCCCGTGCTGTGGCACAGCTTCAGCATGTTGAAAGTGCCCACCAGCAGAAAGTCCTTTTCGGGATTGAAAGCCACACTTGTAATGGCATATTCCTCCGCGGCGCTGGTGAACAGATTTGCGCCCTGAGCATCCCAGATCTTAAAGCGAAAATCCTCGCCGCCAGAGGCTATGATGTTGGACTGCGCGGACCAGCTCAAGGAGAGCACCAGGCCATCATGGGCACGCCACTAAAAGGGGGAAATTTTCAAGTTGTATTCACCTCATCGAAGATCTCCACCAGACTTACCCTAATCGACTTGCTGTTGGCTGCCAGCGGTTTTATGGATATATGTCCACCCTGGCAAAACACAATCGAGGTGGAGTTGGGCGCCCAGCGAGCACAGCGTATGGCCTCCTCGTTCTGCACGACTGTGGAGCGCAGCATGCCCGATCTTGACCAGATTTTGATGACACCATCCTCGCCAGCGGTGAGCAAACCAGCGCCATCTGGACTCCAGCGACCCGAACTAATGGCTGCGCCATGTGCCGAGATGCTACGCTCCACCCGCGCACTCTTGTTGAGGATGATGAAGCGTCCGTCGTTGCTGCAGATGAGCAGCGTGTCGCTGCCCTTGCCGCCGCCACTGCTGCGACCGCCCAGCAGCAGCCAGTGCAGATCCGTGGGCACAAAGTCATCTGGCAGCTTGGCCACCTCCACAGAATCGCGGCTCACGTCGCTCCACTTGAATATCTGATGGTCATCGCTGGGGGGATGGCAAAGAAAAACTTCAGATGGTGGAAGTGTGAAGGAAATTTATGGTTTTTCACCTCACAAAATAAATGTCCTCGTTGCTGCTCCAGTCCACACAGCTCAGGGGATAATTGTTTGGCTGTGGAGTGCTCTCTGCCGCGTTCTCTGACGCTTTTATGGAGCTCTTCTTGCAGAACCGTGTTCTTAACTTCATTTTGGGCACATCTGTAGTGACTGAAGATAATAATTTGCCTTTGTTTTGGTAGTAAAATGGTTGTCAGGGTGAATATTTGTTGACCATTTCAGTTGCCATGGTGGCCCATGGTTCGGGCCTTGGTTGGTTTCTGCATAGACTAAAATAACTACTTCTCTAATTTCCCCTCGATCTCTATGGGATTTTCCCTCTTGGGTGGTGTGAATTGAATATGGTTCTTGCATTGGCTGAGTGGCTGCGAAATATAACATTTCACAAGTAATTTCTAACTAAAGTTAAAAGACAATAAATAAATCTACTGCAATTTAAGATTTTCTTCAGAGACAATTTGTATTCATTTGTCGCTCCATATAACAATTTCCACCAGAAGCATCGCAGTTCCCTTCGCAATCTTAATTTGTATTCCAATAATGTATGTGGTTGTTGTCTCGGTTAGATGGTTTCTTTGCTGACTAAAAGATTTCCTCTTGTGCACGAACTTTATTTAATTATTTTGTTGGTTCGCTGAGATCATCGTGCATACATTTATTTGTATGTAACTTCCATATTTCTCAATTGGTTTACTCTTGGCAGAGCCATGTAATTAACGAATTCCGTTTCCGCTGCTGTAAGACTTTGCTGTAAGCAAATGGCTGCAGCTAAAGAGCTCGGGAATACTCGCATTTTGGATGTTTTTTACAGTCGGCCAACCTGTAATTATGGTTTATTATTTAGCGAGGCAACTGTTTTCAGCAACAATTTGCGATAATCATTGTCATGCGAGTAGAGTGAGTCGCAGATGACATGGCAATTGTTTAGGATTCGCTGACGGACGCGCTGAAACGTGACAAGATCTGATTGAACACGAAGGGAAAATCTCATCCGTGCTGGATAGGTAAAACCTTTAAGCCGCGCACGGAGCGAAGCAAGGGGCACCGAGTTTCTTTTTGTGTTAATTACTTCCCTTTTCTTTTAATTGCAGCCACTAAATGGAGTCCCCAGCATAATGACCAACATAAAGTCTTGGCGAGGCACAACTATACCTCAAGCTAATCGATTTCCAGGAAGCTTGTCCCTGCATGAGCTTCAATTATATTCTAATTTGTTTGCAGTCATTAAAGGAAATTCATCAATAAATCGAATGAATCTGACTAATCATCGTACTACGCACCCCCCAAGGCTCCACGTCACATTCCCAGTGCATGTCTTGGGTTTGCATATCTCTGGGGTTCCATCTATCCTTGGCCTGGGGTTGTCTCTACCTTTTTGTGTCTTTCAATCGAGTCGAGACATGAGTTTGCGTTGTTTGAGTTCGAGTCGTAGTTGTAGGCGTAGTTTATTGGATTTACTTGACACAATTGACACATTTCTAGTACATTGAACTTTTTACGTTCAATTTTCTTCTCCTCTGACGACGGAGTACGATGACTTGGCGCTGGTGTGTGACTGAAGTTTGTTTTTGTTGTGTTTGAGTGGGAGCTTATAGGACTCCATAAATACCTATTTATGCCTTGAGTTTCAGAGTCTGAGTCAGATATTTTTGTTTAATTTGCTAATTAGGCACTGGACTGGCTAGTCCTAAATTTAGAATTAGACGAAAATGGTTCCATAATTATAATTTAGTTATTTACGTTGCTAAATGTTAAATATATTTATATCAGACATCGAGTAGAGAAGTTCATTGGTTCTGGCTGGTTGAAGAGCATTCTATAAAATAAATTCCCCGAATTCTAGTAAATATTTTATTAGTTTGCTTTTTATTCTCTTCTCTTAGAAAAAAACTATCTTTGCTTGAACTTTTTTATGCTGAACCAAACTCCAACTCTCATCAATTCCGTTCCTGTCGTAATTTTGTCGTAAAATATTTAAGACTCGGAAAAAACCAAAACTTTATTAAAATCGCGGACCCTCGCTAAAAAACAATCGCACTACTCGTAGAAGACAAAACACAAGTGCAACGCTTATGCACACTCAATCACTCTCTCTCTCTTTCTCTGCCACTCACATTCTCTGGCTGCAATTGAAAACACATAAAAAGTGTTTGCAACAAATGTTGTGACACAGCACGCAGTTTCCAGCTACTCCTCTCCCCTACGCGTTGCCCGAGTGCCAGTGCCAACATTGCATTTCCTTATCAGAGACTTGCACTTGATTAGACGTCGATGGCCAAATCGAACTCAGCATTCAATTGCTGGTGACGACTGTCTGCGTAGGGACAACCACCAGGGTGACGTTGACGACGACTACGACGACGATGGCAACCACAGATGGCAACTACAGCCACAGCCATTAAGCGGCAAATGGTGCGGCAAAACGCACTGGCTAAACACACAGTGGGCACAAATGGGAAGTGAAGTTGTGCTTAAAAAATATAAGAACATCTTCATTCTTCATACAGAGTTAAGAAAAACCAGAGAGCAATTAAACATCAAAATTGAGTTGCTTCGCAATAAGCTAGCTATAAGTGGAACCTTTACTGTATATTGCCATTTTATTTCTCAGTATACAAAATATTCTCAGTAATAAAATAAATCTTCTTTTTTCTGTATGCCTTCTACAGACTTGAATGTTGAAAAGATTAAGAACAAAGAGCAAAAGGGAGAACCTCTAAAACTGCACTCAACTATCACTCCCGCCCCACTGTGCCGCCATTGAAACTGCAAGTGTTGGCGGGCGACCATTAAAAAAGTGCAGCCATATCGCCGAGCACTCGTAAGCTCGTAAAGCCGAGACCCAGCCCCACGCTCACGCGCAGGCAGCAGCTCCCCCCCAGCCCTCTGCCTTTGCCCCTTCCCGCTCCAGCAGTAGGTACTCTCCGATTGAATGCAACGGCATCAACTGCTCTCTTTTGCAAGCAGCGCCAAGCGATTCGGCGATCTCTCGCAGCGACGGCGACGGCGACGGCGACGGCAGCGGCGACTCGTGTGCGTTGGGGTTGGGTTCGTTTTTGTTATTGGTTCAACTGTCGCGTGGTGGCTCGGCATTCAATACTCAGTGCCCACTGTACACACTTTACTTTACTGTTCAGTTCTCAGCCTCAGTTCCGTTCCGTTCAGTTCGCTTCGGTTCAGTTTTAGTTTCTGTTTCTGTTTCAGTTCGCATTCAGTTTGTCAACGCGTCGCATGCGTGGTCGTTCGTTCGGGCAGTCCACAGTCGTTCCACCCAATATTTTTCGGTAAATTTCAAACCCAAAACGAGCAGAAGAAGTGCCGTGCCGCTCCGTGCTAGAGTGCCAGAAGTGTGTGAAGTGTCCGGAGTCGAAACTGAAAAATATTCAGTTGCAAATTTCCGCTGTGCAAAAGAAAAACATAAAAGAAAATCTCCCCCCGGAAACATGCCGTCGTACGGTTCAACAGGCTGCCTGCTGCTGGCTTTACTCTCCCTGCTGCTGTGCCTCAATGCAGGTGGGTCCCAGTCGCACTCCTTTCTGTGCAGAATAGCTCCTAGATTTCCTGGTTTTGCATGGAAGTGCAGCTAATTAAGTGGAGTCGGAGGGAGCTCTTATCCAGAGTTAAGTGCGTGGTCGTGAGTTTCCATTTTAAATGTGCAGCAAAAAGCAAAGCCTCGAGTTCGCTGAACCAACCACAGCAAGGGGTTCCGTTTCGCAAAAAGAAATGGCTTAAAGGGTAAACTTTTGGCATGATTAAAGTCTTAGGGTGCTGCTTAAAGTTGAGAAAAGTAATTCCAAGCGGAATTGTATTCGTTTAAAGTCTGAGAAGGTCAATTGCCGCAGCTTAATTGTAAAGAAAATCTTGGAAAATATACAAACAATCAATTGTTATTCTCTGTCTGACCTCATTGATAAGATGAATGCCATACTCCAATTTGCTTATTTTTGCATTATCATGGCAATTGTCTTGACAGTCGCAATAAGTACCCCCGTCAATACCTGAAATCTCCTCCGATTCTTGGCTGATTTATTGGATTTACACGCGTTGCACTTGGAAGATATTTTTGCCCGCTGCTCAGTTTGTGTTTATTTTTACCTCAAACGTGCGACGTGCAGCACAAATATTTCCATAACCTTAAAAACTCAAAGTAAAACAAATATTATAAATAGCTAGGAAAATGTGAGTGGAAAAGAGCTGCCAGTGGGAAAATCTTTCTTTCTTTTTCTGTATCTTTTCTAGAAAAAAACTTTTCTAAAGTTTCCTTCAATGTGGATTTGTGGATATGCGTGCCACATGTCGCGGCATGTCATCAACTAAGAGTTTTTTTGTGTTTATGCTGCACAGGGCGTGCCACTGTCAACTTGGAGTGGCATAAGCTGGAGCGAAGGCTACTTCCACCATACAAAGTGACACAAATTTATTGAGGGCAAACTCCAAAGCGTGCCCTTACGGACACTCATGCGATGACCATAAAAAGGGGCATACCAGAGAGTAGACCAAAGTAATTTTAGATAGAATCATTACTGATTGTTTCTCAGGTGAATAGGATCCTGTACATGCAAAGCGATGACACAAGAGATTCCACAGATAAAAGATACAAATCTATTAGAGAATTTAGAGCACATGCAAGCACCATCAAAGAGTGACTCAACTTAGCCATTAATTATTGTAATATGCATGTCCTACATGAATGAAAATTGTAAAAAAATTACAAATCACGTAATTAACATATTCCAAAAAACATGCAATTATTTATACAATTTCTTACAACTCATCTGTGAGTCGGAGTCAGAGTCAGGAATGAGGAATGAGGATGCCTCATCGCCCTTAACCTTCAGATCTCTGCGATGAAATCTTCTCAATTAATAATTCGCTGCTGTTGTTGCTGCCTAATTAAATCCATTCAGTGGCTGTCGCTGTCGCTGAATCAGTGCGATTTACGTGGCATATTTATGAACGATAATAATGAAAACTGAACTGAAAACTGCAAAGCCGTCGAAAGCGCACACCCACGAGAATGTTTAGAGAGCCTGAGAAAATGTTAGACTTTTGAAATGCAAAATTGTACTTTGATTTGTAATCGTTGAATATATATTTCTATATGCGATTTCTTATGGGTTTGGCTGCAACTTATGGGTGTGCTTCGGTAGGGTATTCGATTACGTAAAGTGGTTCAGGAGCTCCACTCAAATAGTAGGCCTGGAATTTTGATTACTTAACGTAAGTACTTAGGTAGGGACTTAGGGAATTCAGTTAGCTTGAGGAATTTCCAATTTGCTGTTGCTGATGGGAGTGGTTCTGGAATTTAAGGGTGTACTTTAGCACTCTAAGAACACTCTAAGTAACTCGAAGTAGTCTTAGCGCACACATCTAAGCTCTATTATTTCTTAGACCTCTGACATATTCACTCATTTGCATAGACATTCTCTTCGCATAACCAACACTCCTCGCTAGCCGCCTAATTATGGTGGCATTCAGCCCAATTGGGAAACAATTTTGATAAACGTTCGACGAATTTTGCATTTGGCATTTGGCATTTTTCCTGCCAGTTGAATGAACTTTTGGTTGCATGTCACTCACAGTCACAGTCGCAGGCAAACCTGCTGCTACCCCCTGCCCCTGCCGCCTAATCTCTATTGCATTTTAGGGCCGTAAAGTTTTAGCTCCCACCACGCACACCCTACTGCACACCCCTCTAACCCACCCACACACACTCGTAAGTTGGCAAGTTTAATGGGGAATGATATGGAGCGGCAGGCAAGGCGCTTTGGAAGAGTTTCGCTTCAAAGGGGAAGCTTCGGGTGAGCGGCATTCTGGTGGTGTCTTTGGATTTATATTTTATAGATGCACCCCGAGCAGATCCAAAATGTGGCAAGTCCAAGCTCCACTCTGTTGTCACTCGCCTGCAAGTTTTGTCTGCCTAATGGAACAATTGCATGTGAACCCCGTCACATGTGTGGGAAACAGTTCGCTTGCCCCATTGCGGCATATGCGGCAATTCCATATGCAGATATGGATGGCAGCAGCTATAGGGCTGAGGGCAATAAACTCCGGCGTTGGCTTAGGCGCAGTTGGTTTGTGGCTTACGCAGTGAAGCTAATGAACCTCAGAAAAGAAAATGTCCCCAGTCAGGGAGCGGGCTACGCTGTAATTAAACGGATTGGAGGGACACTCGACTTGGGTGGCATGGGGTAAGCATGGGGTATGAAAGGGTTAAGTGAACATATTTCTGGGGAGCGTAAGGATATGCCTGAAGGATACTTACTAGAATATGTGACTATGAGGCGGAGTTGAGGACTCGTAAATAAATAAATGCAATGAGGGAAGGAACATGTGTAGAAAAGGTAAAGAAAACTTCGAGTAAATATGAGAAAAAGCCAACGTAGATTATAATGAATGATTAATGAAGGTGGAGCAGGGAAGATACAGAATTTGCTTGACTTATTTGTTGCCTTATTGCCTCATTGGCTCTTTTGTTAGCTCAGTTTTTAGAGTTTTATATTTGGAGACAGCTAAGTAAAGCGAGGATCAATAGAAGTAAATGAAGGACAAGCTAAAAAACATTCGAAATGAAATGAATAAGTTGAAGTAAAAGGGTAATAAAATAATATGTATTTCCACAACTCCCAAACCTTTCGATCCACATTTGCAGCTTACATAATACGAGTGTGTGTGTTTTTTGGTGTAATAAATCATTCACCCTCCTCAAGTTTTATTTTGCGTGAATGGTTGGTTGAATGGAAATGGAAATGGAAATGTATAGGCAAGATCTGTCCCCAAAGCCAGCGCTCCCCTCACTCAGTTTTCCATCGATGATTAGAGGCGAATTCCATTTGCCAAAAGTATCGGCGAAAACATCTCGTCCAACAAATACTTACGCACTTGCTAACTCGTATTCGCGGGCCCCAAATGTCTCTGACCATTTTTGGGACGCAGTTGCAACTGCCACAACATTTGGCATAATGCAACCACCGAGCACAGAGCACACATTGAGTGGTGGCAAGCAGGCGAGTGGCTGTGGCAGCCACAAACCGCACAATATCAATTTTCAGTTTCAATAGAATTACAGTCATTACCATTAGTAAACTGCCACTGGCCGTTGCCCAGAGCGGACGCGCAAATAAACAATTCTGCAAACGATCTGACAATTCAACTGTCAATTAATTTCAATATATTGTAAATGATTATAATTTCCATCCAAAGAGACTTGCAGTTTCTCCATTTCCCAGTTGCTGCGCGTCTCAGTTTCTCGATTTCTCAGTTCTCGAACGCAAATTGTAATGTTTATGGCCAAATGCGGTCGCCCGATCGCTCGATCGTTGCCTGGCTGACTGGCCACAAACACGTTTCGGCCAAATGCGTTGTGCCAGTGCGTTGGCACACTTCTCCTCCCCGCTGCACGAACCCTGCCCCTCTGCGCTGCTTATCTAGGCTTTCGCTTAAACGCGCCTCAAAGTGTTGGCTAAGTGCATTTAACCCGAACGTTAGCGTTTGACGTTTAAATTGGCCACGAGAAACGAGTTTTATTGTCGCCATCATAGCCATCATCCCCAGCCATCATTATCATCCAGCGTTCTCCTTCGCATGGATTAATCAAATTATTATTTACACACTCTACGCGTAGTCTAATCGCCAGGCATAAACCAGCCAATGCCCAGGTTTTTGACACTTTTATAAGGCAGTTTTCCCATCGGGTGTCGCATAAATAACTCCGCCGAAAGGCTCCCGTGCCTAATTAATTTCTGCTCGGCAATATTTCAAAGAGCTCTCCGCCAGCGGCACACGCAGCAGGAAGCGCTTTCAAAGTTGCATTATGGATCGATTCGATTCATTAGTTGATCGTTGCGGGTTCATCGTTATCGCTGGAATTGGCGATAAATAGATGCGATAATTGTATTGGTATTTTCTGGAGTATTTGTAAATGAAATATAATGAAATAAATGCGATAAAGGGCTACCATAAACCAGGAATGAGTGATTTCTTAGCTTTCAATATTTCAGTTTAGTCATTAAATCCTTAATCCGTATCGTCAATGAGCACTACTGTTTGCTATTTGCACTACTCACTGTACATAAATACAGTTTTAGCGCATGCTTACGCGCTGCAGCGGTGGTTCTTTCTTCTCTCTGTCCCACCTTCTTCGTTGCTGTACATTGCGCGCTCTAAGCTTTGTGCGCATCTCAGCAGCAGCTGCTACCTGCTCCAACGCTCTCTTTCTCTCGCTCTCTTTCTGCATATGGGCAATTCGGTGCGTCGGCTGCGCAGGTAGTCTTCGAACCTAACTGTAAATTCTACGCAAATGAAAATAAAATTATCTCTTTACCCAAACAAACGTTATATTCCCGCAGTTACTTACACAATACAATTTCTCTTGCAGCCTCTGCAGTGCTTCGCTGCTGGCGTTGCTCCACGGACGTCTCGAATGGGGAGTTCTGCAACGATCCCTTCCAGCCGGATAGCATCTCGGAGCAGCAGCGCTACTGGAGCTACGTCAACTGCACCTATTCGGTGGGTGTCAAGTCGGTGAATGCGCGTCCCGTGTGCAAGAAACTGGTGCAGGAAGGTGAGATCAAAGACCCACAGCAATACATTACCCCCCCTACCCGCAGGCGTGCCCAATTATTCAACCCGTTGCATTGTTGTGACCGCGTGTGCGGTCTTTGGACAGCTTTGGCGATTAGGAGATTGAGAGATCGAGAGAGGGAGAGGCACCCCGACCCCACTGGGAACGGGGACTGTGCCTGGGACACTGCCACAAGAGACTCAAACGAGATTGAAATTTATTGCCACGACAAAGTCCAAACAAGTGCAACAACCAGCGGACAATTGCAGGCTGCAGCTGCCACACTGGCTGGGCGTTGATCGGGGGCGTGGCAAGGCACACAGGGGGAGGAGCGGTGCGGTGCGGTGGGGTGCGGTGAGACAGCCAACAAGTGGCGACACTTTGGCCCACAGAGTTGCATGTGCCGCTAATTTACGGCAAATTTATGGGGAGAGACACACACGCGGCATATGAGTGATACTTTTCGTGGCGATCTTAAGCTCGATTCGGTTTCGGTGTTCGCTGTTCGGCTGCACATTGTTGCTAGGCATGTTTTATTGTTGCCCTGTGGCCAGAGCGCAAATTGTGCATTTGCATACGACAAGCCACAGAGAGAGAGACGACAAAACCAAATCAAGATAGGGACTGATGGACAGGCGGCGGGGGAACGACGTTTTGGATACCCTTGAAATAGTCATTGTTTATTTTTGTGCAATTTCTTCACAACGATTCAGCCTGAGGGAAAAGTTTTCGTACTCTTTAAATCTCAAACAACCCCAAGCCATAATACGTACAACGACGCCAAACTGAAAATAGAAATTAAAATTGAAATTGAAATGGAAATTCGCACTGTTTGTCCAATTTGCCAAACGATCCGTATCGCTGCCTTTTGATCTGCATTCGCCTTTGGTGCTGGGCCTGTCCCCGTCATCATCATCATCAGCATTCACCTGGTCACGACGGCCAGTCGGCACATAAACTTGTCAAAAGCAGACGAGCCGAGCTTGGCCAATAGGCAGACATACGTAATGTGGGTCATGCCAACACTTAATGATGTAATAACAATTGGCAGTCGTTACAAAATAAACAAAGAAAAATATATACAATTTAGTTTGCTAAAATAGATGACAAAAAGCTAATATTTTAATAAATCGAAATAAAAGTCGCTCCACCACAAGTTACTCATAAATCTTGGTCCGCTTTGGGTGCCTTTTAGGCCATGTGACAAATCAATTAAAATCCATTTTGGTTTGCCTAAATAGAGATGTGCCAAAGCAGTTCAAGTTGTGATATAAATTTATGTTTATTTTGACAAATCTGTTGGGACTGCTGCTCTATATTTGTAGACAAGTTTCAATGGGTTTTGGTTTGTGATTTATTGTAATAATTAAATGATCAGCAGCTAGAGTCAAATTGGGCGGCACTTTTATGGATATTTGTTGATCTTTATTAGGCAGATGACAAGCTAAAATTATATATTCAGAGTGCATTCAAAATGGAAGAATTAATTGAGTAAATTCCCTTCAATGTTCACCATAATATATTTCATTTATTTACCACTTATATCACCAATTCAAATGCTCAAAAAGCGTTTATTGGTCTATCCATGAGCATGACAGCAACAAACAACGAATGCAATGGCAGGGATTTCGGTGTTCGCGGACAACATTTAAGCAATTTCTTATGGCCAATTAATGAACACCATTAAATTTTTGCAATCAAGCGTCTACAAATTGGCTCGGCGGCAAATATTTGCAAGATTTTCAATTGGCAGTTTGCAATTAAAATTGCAATTGCAGACTGACGCTGAGGCTCTGAGTCTCAGTCGCAGTCTCGTTCCCCAAAAACTGAAACATGAGCAGCGCTCGTAATGCCCAAAATACATAATATACGATCGGAAAACAGAGCTTGGAAGTCGTGGCTGGGGGGGGGGGCTTAGGGGCGACATATAAGTTAATTAAGTTGTTGCACAGCGTGAAGCGCTCAATTACGGGCCATAAGAAGACGGACCCCAGTTGAGGGGAAACGCGGCAGCAGAATGTCTGAGAAAAATGCAACTAGGCGATGCAACATGTTGTTGCAGCTGCAGCTGGCCGGCTGTGGTTGTTGCCAGTCTCCAATCAATTTATATGCCGTTAAATTAATTGCCCATGAATGTGCCTTTAGTTTTTGGCCAAATGTCAAATGGAAAATGTATTCCATAATTTTTACTCAGCCCGAAAATCTGCAGCCAAGCAATTAGCTGCAGGCTGTGGCAGTGGTGTTTGTGTTTGTGTCTATCCACTGTACCAGTTGTCTGTCAGGTTGCACGTCACTTGGCAAATATTTTGCAACTTGTTGCACTGGCTTCAAAACCCAAAAAAGTTGATGGCTAGCGGGCAGCCATTTTTGGCCTGCAGCCAACAGCTTCTCTCTGGGGAATTTGCAGAGCCAAAAGGGAGTGATATTTGCTAGGAGTTTGGATTATTAAATGATTCTTTGCTTAAGTGAGTTTTGATAGGGGAACTTCCAAGACATGAAGAACAACTTTACACAGATACCTGATACTTTTTCAACCTGCATGCTATAAATCTCACCCTGAGTGTATGCAAACTTCGTCTCTCACAGCCTCACTCCCTCGCTCTGTTTTTATTTCTTTTTTGTCTCAACTTTTTCGTATTTATTTGTATACAAAATCCAAAACAGGCCATAAATAATTAAATTAATTAAAATTTAAATTTATGACACTGTGTGTGTGCGGCAAACAATTTCCAGCATTTTTGTTGATTTTTTGTTTTGTTTTGTGGCAAGCAAACTCGTCCCGTCCCGTTCCGTTCCGTTCCGTCCCTCAATGCGCTGCATTCTGCGAGCCTTGTTTGATGCCGCGGCCATGATAAGGCGACAATTGTCAACAATTTTATTAAGCCAAACAGGCGTCTCTCTACCCGTACGTACGTATGTGCGTGTGCATTTGCTTTCATGGCTCACTGTCCGCCCGGTGTCCGTCCGCATTCGAGTCTGAGCCAATCACAAAAATGGTCAACGCTGTTGCCCATTTCGAGCGGCTAAAACTTTGATTTTGCTTTATTTCATTTGAAATGTTTTCAACATTTTGTCGTTTTGTTCTATTTGTGCAGCACACAGACTGAGACTGAGACTAAGACTGAGTCGGAGTCGGAGACGGAGACACGCAATAAGAAACGCAATTTGTTGTGAACTTTTGTTGCTCTTTCTGGTTTTCATTTGCTGTTTGATTGCAAATTGTCTCGTTGCGCCGAGTTTCACGTTCGGTTTCAGGCCAGGCCTCATTTGTGCAGTTGGAGGCGCAGCTTTTTTGCTTGGAACTCCAAGCATGCTCGTACGATGGTGAGCCTTGAACCTATTACGCGGGTTGGTGGCACGCTGAGATAAGCCATCGTGGAGGTGCCTACTCGAATTACTTTCTTTGCTATAGTGCAAGAATTTACAGATGCTAACTGACAGATAGCTGCAGTCAGGAGGCAGCTTCTGTCTGTACACAGACAATAAATCTTTCCATTGCATTGCCAAAGTTTTGGCTCACTTTTGGCATATTTTGGTGGATAATTTCAAAGCCAAAGAATGACTAAATGCCCGTAATACGCATCATTCCCTGGCACTTATCCAGCAGAATGACCACATCTGCAGCAGGCCCCATCTGGCACTTGCCCCGTGGCCATTTCAAATGTCATTTTTGAGATTTTTTCATGGTTCGAGCGAAAACCAGAATGGCGGGAGACTGAAGCCCACGCGAGGCACGTACACATAAATTTAATTTAATGCGCACACAGCGCGCCCCCCTCTATGCCCCTCACCCAATGCAGACATTAATTAAAATTGCTTAATGAAAATATTTCAACGCTGCTCTCTGCTCTGCTCTTCCCTTTTCTTTTTTTGCAGTGTACGGCAAGCGGGTGATTTCGCGCTCCTGTTTTTATGAGGACATGGACGATCCGGCAGACAAGTGCGCCATGGACCAGACCTCGTCCTACATCAAGACCGTTTACTGCCGCACCTGCACCACGGACGGCTGCAACGGATCCGGCGGCATATCGCCGCTGCTGGCACTCCTCCTGCTGCCCCTGCTGCCAGCACTGAGGCAGCTATGCAAATGAGTCCCAGGGAGCACAGGGAGTCGGACTTAATTACAGATGTGCAAACTGAATTCAAGCCATTACAAGATTTGGCAGCGTTTTGCGTATTTGGGCTGCCCCCCGGAATTAAGGAAATTGAATTTCTTCATCGAGTTTTATAGTCACTATGCCACATGCCACACACAGCATCACAATTGCACGCAGGACGTAGTAGCGTCACATTTGTCATCATCAAGGACTGCATCATGTACACGAAATGCCACTTGGTCACCCTCTCAATCAATCAATTCAACAAGCAAGCAACACACACACACACACACACTTAAATTTGTTGTAATTTGTATGTATGTATTTACATCTTTGTAATACCTTTAATATTGTACTTGTAATTGAAAATGGAAAACGCGCAAGCACGCACCACCCGTCACGTCACGCGGTGTGTTTGTGTGTGTCGCGTAAATAAAATACAACAATAAATCGTAATTAGATGGTACGAAAATTAAGCATTTTAAATGGAATTTGGGAGTAAACGTCAACGTTTAACTGGAAATTAGAGTAACTTTTTTCCTTTGATGATCCATGGGCATGCCCCAACTCGAATAATGTTACTTGTCGCACTGGAATTATGCACTAATTATGCATTATACGGTGTCTTCGAAGCAGAACTCCACCGCCTACATGCATTGCAAACATCATTATTGACCCTCAGCTGCATATTTTTGTTGCTGCAAACTTTTACGTTCTGCTTCTCTCTGGTTTAGCTTTCTACCTGCTCGCGCTCTCTCGACGCCCGCTCTTCGTTGTTTACGTTTATGCCTAGCGCTCTCTCGAAGTTCGTTCTTCTTCGTCTACGTCTCCACGCTGCCGCGCGAAGCTGCGCTCAGCGCGATCGGAACGACAAAGCAGAGATGCAAAGGGCAAGCAAGACCCACCCTCAATTTTAATGTCATTAAACAAGAAGTCGGCATGCACACATTCACATGCTGGGCAGGAACATTGTAACGGTGCCAGCCACTGTAATGCATGTGAGCGGCGTCGCAGCAGCAGCAGCAGCGTCTTTTATTATGCACAAAAGATGGGCTTTTATGCATAGAGCTTACACATTGGTTAGTTGATTGATTTCAAATTCACTTTGCTTCTACATAATCCCATTACCTACGACCTACTTGCCAGTACATACAGTTTCGTGGCTTAGTTCAGTTGATTTATACCGAATTCCCCCGCCCAACAGCTGCCCGAATCCTGCACTGCCATGGCCAGTATTGCAGCAAAGCTCACCCAAAAACTGAACATCATAAAAGAGAAGAAAAAACAAAAGAAAAACCAAAAGCAAGAGCAAGACAAAGGCAAAGACGAAGATCCGCTGCCCGTGTGGAGCCGACTGCTGAAGCACAATGCGGATGGTCGTAGGCGCAACGACATCTCCGAGACGTCCCAGTATCAGGTGGAGATTTCCAATCGTCTGTGGTCACTTTGGGGCAGTGCACAGCCCGTGGAGGTGGGTTCATCTGCCGAGGCATTAGTTATGGGAAACCAGAAGCAGAGGGCCGCTGCCGAAGCTACAGTACCCGGACGTACGCTGGCTTGCTGTGTGATGGCCTGCTGTGCCAGCAGCAGTCGTTCGTTGGATGTTTGGGACTCTCACACGCTGGACAGAATCATGGTTAATGGCCACAGGTACCACGATGCCAGTGCTAAGAGCTTACAGAGGCCAGAGGGGGCTGGGGAGCTGGCACTGGAGAATCTGCTGACCGCCTGCTCCATGGACGGCAATCACTTCTGGGTGAACACGGAGAAAGTGATCAATGGGATACTCTACAACAGGCACAGGAGCCTTGGGGCAGCACTCAGCATCTTCTTCACTCACCACCACAAGACGGGCATCCTGCAGCTCAAGGATAAGGCGCTGGTCTTTGGCTTCATGCCCGAGGTCTCGGCCGGTGGCGCCTTCTTCATGTTCCACTGCCAGGCGCAGGGCAAACCGCTCTTCAAGGACTCTGAGAGGGCTCCCTATGTGCTGCGTATGCGCCAGATGCAGCAGCTGCTGCACTGCATCCTGACCACACTCAACGAACGCAGCTGGAATGTGCCCTTCAAGATACACAAGGTGTCGTGTGTGGCCAGGAATCGAACAAGGGCGTAGCATATGGTAGGGGGGGATTCGGTATGAAATGGAAGCAAAATTAAATATACATTTTAAAGGAATTGAATTGAGTAGAGTTTTAGATTTCCCCTAGCTCTATGGCTACACCTTGATCATCCTCTCCAGTAACCTGCAAGCCGCACCATCCCAACTGCTGACTAATGTTCGGACCGATGACCTAACTCAAGCAAGGCTGCAGTGCAATCCCAGCTTCCACTTTTCTTCCTAATACTTGGGCATATGTGAGCATATTTATACTGAGTGACCGACCTACCCTCCTTCTTCTTTGCACAATCAAATGCAATTTTGCCGAAGGCAAATCAAAAGTAATTGTCTCACATCACTGCGCTTGACATTGCGGCGGCTCGTAAAGAATGAATGTTGCCAGAGACGCTGCCACAAAGATTCCTTAAGCTCTCTGCCATATGCACATATGTATGTATTATGTATGTATTATGTATGTATTTATGTACATCTGATGTTGTGTGGATCAGTCAGCGCTTCGAAGCGGAAATGAGCTTCAGCTTGGCATTCAATTGGCAAATATTCCTTAATTGCACGACCACGCAAATAATTCTTCCTTTGCTTTTGGATCTCCCTTTTTGTGTAACTTTTGACCTCAGCTAATTGAGCGTAGGATTTGCCGAACAATTTTGTGGCTGTCTTTTGGGTTGTGCTGGGTGCTGAGTGCCGCCCATGTTCGAGTTGCGTGATAATTCCATTATGATTTAATTAAAATCGCATGAAAATAATAACGAATATAAATAAAATTTGTCACAAAACCGAAAGCTGTCATAAAAAAAGGCTGAAAAAATACTACGCGTAAAATGAAATAAAATACAGCAAAAATGGGTGGTGGCAACTAAGCCGCGGCATAAACGTTTTGGCCATTTAAACTTGTCGCACGGCTTTTATTTTATTTTCGTTTTATTTTCGTTTTATTTGTGTGTGATTTTTTGTTGGCTGCTGGCCTGCAAGTTACATATTTTGCACTGCTGCGAAAATGTCGTACAGAGTTTTCAATAAAACTGGCCATTTATCAACGGCAAAGGGGGGAACGGCTCTTGAGAATCGACAATCGAATGTTGCGCATACGCCCCGTGGCCAGAGGGCAAGCCTGTTGCCTGCTGCCTGTTGGCTGCACATGCGCATGCTCGCTCTTCAACTCCAACGCTTATGGCTGTGATTCGAGTTCGAGTACGGATTTGGATTTAAATTTGAATTTGATTTTCCATTGCTCAGGCCTTAACCTCAGCCGCCCCCCACACCCCACTGAGCCAGCCCCCTGCCAACCGGCACACTCGATCGTTGCAAGTTGCATTTTTCACGCTTTGTCAACTTTGGCTTTAGCTGCTTCAGGTAGCTATGGTGGCTATGGGGAGGAGCCACTAATGCCGCAGATTAGTGTCAAGATTTGCATACGAAATCGTATATCTGCCAGGTGCGTGTGCTCCACACGGCTGTGGCTAATTTGGTAAGAGTGTGGCCAAATTTGGCTAATTCCGAATGAATGCGGGCTGCCAACTGCCAAATGTGCAAATGTGCAATGTCCTGCTCGTGAATCATGCTCACCCGTACGGCGGTGGTGGCTGAATGTGAATCATTTGCTTGGAGCACAGGGAGCAGATCTAGATATGTCGCTGGCTAAATGCATGACTAAAGACCTAAGCCAAGCCGACTTAACATCTGCTGCTGATAAAGCTCCAAGACTTACACTGTTTCTGTGGCTTATCTTAGTCGCTTATCTTAGTTGTGTACCGAGATTATCAGTGGTCGTAAAGTACTGGAGCTGTCTAACCAACCAAGTCTAACCAGATCGGCAGCTCTGCCACAACTTCCAATGTAACGAATGGGACTTTTTGTCAAAATGTTTTCAAACAGCTTGACTTGGAAACTAAGAAATTCGTTGCATGTATCCAAGAATGACATACATAACTGTCCTAGCTGCCAGTTTCAATCAGATATCGATCCCCATCCTAATCCCTACCAACAAATGGTACACCTTTAGCAAGTACAAAATGTAGCCAGTCCAAAGCTTATGGTTACAACACTTTTTTATAGCAAAAGCATGCGTGCTAGCCAAGTTTCAAACCAAGTGTATGGTCACCGCTGCTTGAGTGGAAACATTGAAATGTGAATACAAAATATTTCCGTTAAATTAAGCACAAAATAATGATAGACCCAAAATTACCCTACACTCATTTTGTACGTATGTATGTTTTTGATACATGTATTGTTTTGATAGATTGTGGCCCATATATGCACACTGTTTTTCAACTTCTTCCAGCCGCTGCCAAGAACTGCAAGAACATCGTCAATGGAGCCAGCAAAGCAAAAAGCCCGAAGAAATACTAATGTGTCTGGCTGGCTGGCTGGTTGTCTGCCGCCGTTGGCATGGGCATCCCCAAGAGTCGACGTCATCGTCGTCACACAGTCGCTGCTGGCAGCAGCAGCAGCAGCAGCAGCATCAGCCAGCGTCGCCGTTTGCTGCGTTCCCACTTTGACTGCGAAGCCTGCGAGTGGCAGTGGCCAAGGCACAGTCGTTCCTCGCCCGAGCAACCGTTTGCATCGCGCGCGCACTCTCCCACAGCACTCTCTGTCTGTTTGTGTCTCTCTCTCTCTCTGGTTAAAGGATAGAAAAAGGAAGAGCGGCGCCACAGAGTCGCCTGCCAGTGCCGCAAAGGATTCCCAGTTATCATTCCAGTTGCTGCTCCACCATGACGGCAGTGCCCATGAAAGCCCTCATCGCGGGCGTCTTCTTGCTGGCCAATGCCTGGCACATTTCAGGTGAGACCCGCCTCAGGTGTTGCCGCTAAGTGTCGATCAGTACGAGAGAACATGGTCCATAATGTCTGTGTAAACATAATCGCCACCAACCCAAGCCACAAGAACTGTGCACAGTTTTTCATTAATTTGTGTGTTTACGTGTAATTCCATCTGCCCCGACAAGGTTGCGCCTGGTTGGTTTGGCTGATGGTTCCCATGAATGAAAATTTGCCTCATTTCAACCAGCTCTTGATTTTGTTTATGTGCTTTGATGGCTGCTTTTTAGGATTCACCTTTTTGCGGTGTTTATGAAAACTCTCTACAACTTTTGCGATCATTTTCGGTTTATCAATTTACTTCACACATTTCTTGAGTGCTCTTTCTCGCGATTTGCCAGAAGATTTATGAGCGACAGTTTCTGTTTCTCGCTTCGAGCACTCAAAATGATAGAGCTGTCCGCTGTTTTTATCTGTCATAAACAAATGAATAGCAAATGGTAATATAATGATATATTAATGGGCCGATGGATGTCTGTTTATTGTGACTACGGAGCACGTGGGGCGCACATAATTGAAGATTTGCCAGAGATTTTGAGGGGTGTGGCAAAGGTAAAGTGTCGGAGAAACATGAGCCACAGAATGAGTAAGAGCTGCTTATAATTATCGTACTTTGGGTATGATTTGGCAGCATAAAATGCATTCGAATGCACTCTGAAAATATGCATTACCAGCTCCAACACAGCCAAAATCCAGTCAAATGACCAAACACATAAACTATGTATAAATATGTACATAATTATGTAAATACATCTGCTTATATGTAGCACTTTCTGTTGATTGGCAACCTGCACGGCATGGCATATATAAATCCAAAATATTTTCCGCCCAACTGCCACACATTGTGGAATATTTATTTTGCCATTTGTTCGCTTTGCTTTGCTTTGCTTTGCTTTGCTAAATGTGAATGCAAATTCCATAATTGGAATGCTGAATCGATGCTGGTGATGGATGCAACGTGATTAAATGGTGAATCGAAGCGGACTGGGTCTGGGCGCCCTCCTGTTGCTCTCAATTAGCCCTGCTTCATGTCCTGCAATTATCAAATTGCCTTTTGCTTTTGTCCTTTGGCCACTCTGGTCTACAATCTGCGCTGCGATTGGGTTTGCGCATGTCTGACTGGCGCCAGGATGGCGTCTGCTCCAGTTACCAGCAGCGATTGCCTTACTCCCGCTGTCTTCTGCAGCAGCATCCAGCCCCAGTCTCCCCCCCTCTGAGACTCTGTGGAAACTATGTCACATTCTGGTCCGTGTCCTTACTCGGGGGTTAGTTCTTCCTCTGCGTTCAATGGCAGCAAATTGCGTAACTGATAATGAGTCGACGGGCAGCCACTTCCCTGCCCCCGCGAAAGGAAGTGACACACATCCGATCCGTATCGAATGATGTTTGTTTTTGTGCCTGTTTTTATGGGGTGGCTTTTCTCAGGCTTCGGGGGTGGACTTTTAGCAGCAGAAGGGTAAGGGTACGGTTAAGGGTAAGGGTACGGTTAAGGGTATGTGGAGTGCAACTTCCTCTCAGACAAGTATCAGCTTTCAATTGCCCAGAAGCCCCCCCAGAGAAGCCAAAGCAAAGCTGCGTCCTGTGCGTTAACAAAACAGCTCCAAATGCGACCTTGAGTCGGAGCCCAGGCCATAAAAAGCAATCAATTACTCACACCAGGAACGTGGCAAAGAAAACGCCTGAAAATTGCACGTGGGAAACATTTTGCCAGGAGCCAGCAGAGTCTGAGACAGCTGTGGGCCTACTTTGTGCACGTGTCCAGCTAATGGTGGGTGGAAATGCAAGCAAGAAACTTCCATTCTTAGCACTCGCGGACATGCCAAGGACACAGCAAGTGCCGCTGGGGTTCGAGAGGGGTTATAATAATGTAATTTAGCAGCGAAAACTTAACGGAAAACGAAATATAAATGTTTTACAGTCAATATTTGACAGGGGTTTGGCTGTGGCTTGACCCAAGGCAGCTCCGTGGCCAAGCACACAAAACGGGGCTAGGTCCTGCCACCGTTGCTGGGACTCAAGGACTCACTGTCAGGCCCCCCCAATCACGCAAACTTATCAAGCCAATTAGTGTGGGGCCTTCTCTCGCAACAATTTGTTGTGGGAATTTGTGTGCGAGGTGCGAAAACAAATTGTAAGGAAAAACAAATAAACAAATTGTTTGGTCATGAATGGGTGGAAAATATGTACGAGATAAAGCTATATTTACATTAGCGGATCAATCAGTGAAAGTTGTGTGGGCTGGGGCGGATAATCGAATCTCAATGACTTATTGGAGGCGCAAAAAACTAAAGCAAAGAGCCGGAAATAGCTGCAGTAAGAGCCAAACCAATGGCAAGGAATTTTACATACTTTTCGTTCCATAAGAGAAATAAATCTTCAGCTCACACTTTGTCAGCTTTTACTTCATAAAACTCAAATTGAATCTCCCATTTAATCTGCCATTCCCCAAGTACAGCCGCGCCCATCAATTGACGCACAATTTAGCCAAAATTCTCGCAGAAACAAACTTTGGCCACCATTCTGTGACTTCATGGCGTATACGCAATAAAAATTGGGCTAAGGCGCCGCCACGACTGGCCACGCGCCACTCCACCCCGACAGCAGTGGGGGCGGTACATGAACCCCAGTGGCTATCTGGCTCTCTGGCTCTCTGGCACTGATGTTGATGATGTCAACATTGCTGTCGAAGAATCCTGCGACTCAGTGCCCCCAGCCCATATCGAATGCTGAAATAAAAGTTTTGTCTGAGCAAAGAAAGGTCAAAGGAAGCACGCTTAAACCCCCTTTCTGTGTCTCCCTTTTGCAGCTGGCCATGAGCAGCAGCAGCAGCGGCATCTGCAGTGTTGGCACTGCAGCTCGGACACCATTGGAGCGGAGGACTTCTGCGATGTGACCTTCCAGGAGGACAACATACCCACGGAGCTCATCAAGGAGCGGAACATCAATCTGCTGCGGAGCTGCAACAGCACCATCAATTCGGATCACGAGCGGCCCGTGTGCCGCAAGACTGTCGAGGAGAGTGAGTGCCAGTCCAGGCCTTAAATGAATCGCTCGACTCCACTAATTGTATTTCCCTTCCCCCCCACAGACAATGGCAAAATTATAACCAAACGCTTCTGCTACTACACCAACAAATCGGATCCCGTGGAGCTGTGCAACGTCACCAGCCCGGAGAAGAATGTGCGGCGAATATTCTGCGAGGATTGCCTCACGGACCGCTGCAACGGTGCCCCAGGACTGGTGGCCATTATGACAGCCATACTTATGATTCCAATACTTGGACTGATTCCACAACTGTCCATCTAAATGAGGCGCAACTGAAGGAAGCAACTCTCCCTCACCCTCTCCCTCTCTATGTCTCTGTCTTTGTATTTTAGTTGGAACGTGATATTTTGCCTGTGGCCAGAAGCGGCGGGCTGTTTGCTGATTAACAATTTAGTTAGTTTAATTTACACCTTAGCCTAGATACAACTTCCCCCTCAAAGATTACAGATTACAGATTACAGTTTACAGATTTATGGTTGCCAAGTTTGAATATGATTTAGGCCTGGCTGAGTGCCCAGCTCAGAGTCAAGCATACAAATAATCCACAAATAAATGGCAGCAAGCAGAAGTCTATACCGAAAACAGTATACAATGTAAAACATATTTTAATGTAAAGCACACACAAAAAGTAAAAGGAATGAACATAAATTGTATGTAATTATCACAGCTGCAAACAGACACAAAAATCAATGCACCGAATAAAGTTTACACAATGGAATCCGCCTCAGAGCTGGCCCTCACAGATAGCCCAACAGGTCAATAATGGCATCCACCAGTCGCTGTTTGAGTCCTTGATCCAGGCTCGTGTAGGGCTCCTCCAGCTGCAGGCTCTGCCACATTTTGGCCATGTAATTGTCAAAGTGCGTGCTCTTTTGGCCGCCGCTCTTGTAGCGCTCGTAGAGCAGCAGCTCGGAGTAGACCATCAGCCGGAAGGACTCGTTCGCTCTGCTGTCCGTCAAATACAGCTGATAGAGAAGGGCCGCCAGTTTGTTGGACTCTTGCAGGCTGTACAGCCGCTTCAGCACGCTGCCAATGATCTGCTGCAGCTGCTCGGGCTTGAAGAGGCAGTGGAAACGCTGCGAGTGCCGCCCAATAGCCAGCTGCCACTTGCCCAGCTCGTGCTCGGGTGCCTCGAGGGCCTGCCGGAAGAGCGCCGTCGTGTTGATGGTCTCCAGATGCTCTCGAATGTGCTCGCGCATGAGATGTCCCTGCAGCTGCTGACTGAGCGTGATGTTCTTGTCCTTGTTGCACATCACCCGCTGCATCGTCTCGTCCAGTTCGTCGATCTTGGCCACATCCCTGGGGTAGTCGGCGCGCAGCTTGCCCCAGGTGGACGCTGCCAGCGAGAGCTGCTCGTCCACGGTGCCATTGAGCCTCTCGATGAGGGTCAGCATGCGCTTGTGGTCATAGCAGATCACTTGGGTGCCCAAGGCAGCGATAATGGAAGGCAGGAGGAGCAGCAGTGGAAGCGATTCACCGATCATTGCTGGTGGAAAAATTGAACTGAGCTGCGCAGATCGAAAGCAATAAACGGGACTTATCAGCTTAGGGTCTGCACCCCCCCACCCCCCTCTTTGTTCTCATTGAATGTCAAATCTGTGACTCTGCTCTCAGTGAATGGCCAACTGCATCGCTCTCTTTTACTGACTGTCATTATATGGCTCTCTCTCTCTCTCTCTTAATCTGTTGCCTCTCTTTTACTGACTGTCCATCTGTGTCTCGCTCTCTCTCACTGTAAATCGATCTGTGTCGCGCTCTCTTGCATTCACTATTGCTCTCTCACTGCCTCCCGCTCTGTGTCGCTCTCTCCGCCACTGTCACTCCCCATCTCCCTCTCTCCACATGTCACTGCGCTCCTCACATAACGGATATTGGGATCTGCTTCACTAATCCAAGCCGACACTCGCACAGCCTTAGAAGTTTAATCCAATTATGCGACCCACATACGAGTACGGAAGCAATGCAACAACCCTCGTGCCTGATTTATCCTTATCCTTGTCTGGCCCCCCCCCAATCGCAGTGCTCAATCTCAAGCGGTGTTGAGTGACAGGGCAGGGGGCGGAGTGTGGCAAGGCAATTCCTAATTAAATTTATGCAAATTGTTGGCTGTCCCTGTTGATTAGTGTCGCCTTTGGGGCATCCTGCTAGGCCTTTGACTACCTCTCGCCGCCTCATTTAACAGCGATCGTGTGCAATGAGATAGGCAAATTTGTAGGTCATATTTGTGGTTTGGAACTTACTTAAATGTAGACATATATTGATGGTTGCGGAAAATGGAAAATGGCAAATTTCTTGACTCTAAAATTTACTGAATAATTCTTTAATTTTTGACGGAATGGAAATCAATTTTAAAAGTTTCTTGGCAGCAATTCCACAAGAATTTTACATATAGACTCGACAAGTGGTGCACACTTTTGGGCTGAAGAATTACAAATTTTCTGAAATATTTATAGAAATACAATGAAGCTCGATCTCCAGTTGCAAACATTCGCAAAAGCTACAAAAAAACTTCAAAGCCATCTTCCCCAGTTCCCCCATGAACAACAATGAAACAAACAAGGAACAACATAACACAAAACTATTTATTAAAGGCCACAACTCTACTCTACAATCCGCATAGTTGCGACTGAGCTCAGCTCAAAGTCTCCGCGAAATGAAGTCTCCAGAGCTCCTCTCGAATCGAAATCTCTACAGATTTCCCTGGCACCCGTGAGAGAAATCTTGGGTACAAAAATCCACTCCACTCAATTATAGTCTGGAGAAATCACATATGTACATAATTAACAGATTGATTCTGTCACTTGAATCGCATGGCATTGTTCGATTAGCAAACAACACTTTCGTGGCTGGATGTTAATAGATCTGTTAACCTGAGTCATGGCACGGGACAGCCATGACATCAACCCTAGTAAACTCTCTGCAAACTCTCCAAACTCTCCAAACCCAATTACTGACTTCTTTTGAGCTGCATACAAATTGCCTCATTAAATGAACGCAGCACTCAGATCTCTCCCCAAGATTCAGATAAATGGCTGTGAGATCTCTCCAAAATCCCATAAAAGTTAGACTCAAAATAAAAACAAATTGCTTATAACTCTCTAACAATAAAAACAAACTCTGTAACCGGACCGGTTTCTCGTAAGCCCAAACCATCGACTGCACATCGTGCTGTAAATGCCACTCGAAACAAAACATTTTCTGAGCAACATTTTTGGGGTGCGACGCAGTTGATGTTTCCATGGGGCTACATGGGGCTTGTGCCGCTAAGTTTTGAACTGAACGGCAGTGTCAGACGTGCAGCAGACATCGTTGAGAGCGGTTCAGTTTCGAGAGTTTTCCAGTGAAATAAAATAAAGTCAAGTGATAATTAAAATGGTGTCCGCTCTGAAATGCAGTTTGGCCTTGGCCGTCATTATCAGCCTGGCCTGTTCGGGTGGGTAGAGTTTTGGCAGTGGAGTGTGCAGAGTTCTTTGGCATAAAGGAGTTCAAGGAGAACAAGTGGCAGAAGTTTTCGAGTTTCTAAAAAGTTGTAGTGTAGTTGTAGTTATTATGTAAGAATTTTTGGTAGAACAAAATGCAAGAAAATGTTCATTTAAAGTGTACTTAGAACCACTCCAAAGCGATCCACAAATTGCTTAGAATTGTAGGGAATTTCTTTCACTTTTGGAATCATTGTTTGAAGAACATTTAAGGATAAAAAGAAACTCTGTAGCTCCCTTTGCCTAGGTCTTCCAGACCTATTCCACAGTTCGCTGCAAAAAGATCTCGCACAATCCTGCATAATAAACCAACTGCCTCTCCTCTTACAGCCCATGCCATCAAGTGCTATCAGTGCGAGTCGCTGACCATGCCCAAGTGTGGACTCAAGTTCGAGTCGGATGAAAGTCTGCTGATCGACTGTGCCCGCATTGGGCCACCGCGCTATCTGCAGAACTTCTTCCCCCTGCGCAATGCCACCGGATGCATGAAGAAGTCCCTCGAAAGTGGTAAGTCAATCGAAGGAAGGAAGGAACAACCCTTGAACTGAGTCCGAAACCCTTCAAGGTTCAAGCGGAATATGTTGAGATCATCGTAGGAGCAAATCGGCTGTTTGTATCTGATGTCATGCGTTACATTTGTTGTTTTCTATCTTTGGGTGTTTCTCTCACGTTGCTGTGTCGTCTAATTACGCTTAATTCGTTGTTTTTATACAAATAATAATAATAATGACGTGATTTTCTCTGTCTTTGAAGCAATTCAATTTGCATTTTTGAATAAATTTGCCAAAGATTATTCAGTGGTAAATATTTTGATCATAACTCTGAGCTGTGAGGGAATTGCATGCGGCGCGAGTCAATTGGCAAAAATCCTCAGCAAAAACATTTAATTGATTGCAAAGATGAGATCAGAAAAGCCAAAAGAAAAACGCTTCAGCAGTCAGCTGGAAAATTTCAACAAAAATTACCCAACTTGGGCTCCACAGTCCACAAATGAAGTCATAAACAGGCGTAAACAACAATTAACGAGTGGCATTTAGTGGCAGTGAAAGCCATTGGTCGTGCCTGTCATTACTCATCCAAACTTTGTTCTCTGCCTTTTTCCAGTCGTTGGACATCCACAGATCGTGCGCAGCTGCTACTTCGGGGACGTGTCCAACATCCAGAGCGGCTGCCAGTCGGATCCTTCGCTGCCCTTCGTCAAGCAGTTGGGCTGCGATGTCTGCACCAAGGACGAGTGCAATGGATCTGCCACCCTCGCACCCATTGCCGGCGCCATTCTGCTCTTCTTCGGCGTCGCTCGCCTGCTGGCATAGATCTTACTTACTTAAAATAGTTCCTAAGTCGCTTAAATCCTTTGATCGTAGTACTTCATTGTGTATCTCTTCTTGCTCATGGATCCTAAATTGTGTCAAAGTTTGTGTTTAAATTTCAACTTATTTCAATTGATAATAAAAGATGGAAGGCAATGAGTTCTTGCTAATGTCCAAATGAATTTGAATGCTTGTCGTAATTGTTGCTGGTGAAGCGCTAAAAAGGGGCTTTGAATATGCGCAGAGCATGGGGAGAAGAGTTGCTACTCAGAGTGGGACGAGAGTCCCACAAAACTTGGCTTAAATGTTCCCCTTTTTGAATGCCTGACATGAGAGACTCAAAGTGGCTGCCCACAAATATTTGTACACTCCAAAGGCACGTACATAGGTGAATAACAATGGCATGAATAGCTTAAATATCCCCGGAAAATTCCGAGTAACAAATGAAATAAAAAGTGCAGTAACCGGAACCTTGTGTAAGCCCCAGCCCAGCCCAGCCCATGTGTAACTTCAAACGAAGCGAAGTGAGTAATGCTCCAATATTTAGTCAAAACTTTTAAATAAACTAAGAAAACATTCACAGAGCTAACTCATCCCAGAAAAGAGGAAAAAATAAACATTCAACTGCCTGCCAGTTCAATGACTCAAAACTCCAGCGGAAACTGAAGCTGCGACGGCGACTGCGACTGCAACTGAAAGTGAATCAGATGTTGTGTAGAGTTTTGACTGTGGCTTAGAGTGTGAAAACACCTGGGAACTAATTAGTATGTGCACCCAGACGCCCCAACCCGACAACAAAGAGAGTCAGCTCCTACAATTGAGGGAGGCAGATGCATATCTCCATTTGTGTGTCTGCCTGTTTTAATCACACATAATTGAGTTCAATTTCGGTTTGGAAGTCAAGTTTCAGTTTCAGGCTGAGGCCCACACTTCGGATTCGACTTTCCAAAGTGTTAAATGCGTTTGCGGAGAGTTCAAAAAACTCCAAGACCCCCTCCAAGAGCACAGATCCGAGAGCGTGCTCCGCCTTCTACGCTTGCTTCTCCGCCTCCGCCTCTGCCTCTGCCTCTGCCTCTCCGACTGCTCAATTAACCCAAACTCATTTGGCATAATTCGTAAAAATTACTTAATTGAAGAAAATAGAAAATTATAATAAGACCTGTGGGAAAGGCCACTTGTAGGGGGAGTTCTGCCCGCAGCAGCTTATGAAATTTTACAATAAATAAAACGATTAAAATTGAAAGAATTTCAATTGGAAGCTGACGAGGAGATGGAGTTTTAGAGGAGTAGAAAGTGATGCAGGCTGAGGGAAATTTTAGGGAGAATAGAAAGGGATGTTGGGGAGCTAGGAATAAAAAGGAGCTGCATGGATACTTGGATGATTAAGAAATTAATTCCAACCAAGCAGAAGCATCTGAAATGATATAAACTGCAAACAAATCTCCCAGCACGCTCCAGTGAGCATGCCTCAAAAAGTACTTGAGTGTGGCTGGGCTTGCACATATTTAATTAGGGTTTATTTATGTCAACTAGCAGTGATTGATACAGGAAAGGTACAGCTACAGCAACAGCCTGGCAAGATCTGTTGCTGCCTGACAGCCTCTACAGTTGGTTAATTGTTTGCGATTTGCACATCAATGAGAACTTGAACTTGAAGCCGGTAAACGAATACTCACACTCACACAGTGAATAATTTGAGTTAATT